ATTTTCTTTAATATCTTTGCTAGAAAGTTGTTAGTAAATAGATTCTGTAGGGAGATGATAATATTGTTTAGATTTGGTATTTGTTTTACAATATTACAGAAATAACAATTTTTTTGTCAAAATACGTAGCTGCTTAGGAAATTTAGGTAGAGTTTCTCAGTTACTATCTTTTCATTTTAGATAGTATCTTTCTGTAAAAGAAAAGAAACCTAGTAGTAAACTTTACAGAGTCTGAGGTATCTCTAAGTAGGTTGTACGGAGAACACTGATATCTGGTGATGTTCCTATTTAATCTTTATATAGTCTTGACTTGCTTCTTTCAGATGTCAACAAAAACTTTTTCTCTCTGATATTTAGCTTTTTCTATGCCTCTTCTTCACCACCATTTATAATTTTGTAACTGCATCATTTGACTTGCAAAACTTTGGATACGACTTCTTAGAAAGACAGTACACAAAAGAACACTCCTGCTGTTAAACGTGAAGGAAATACATCACTTATGTAGACCAAATTGGTTGTTACTTGAACACAATACATTATTTGCTTGTTCTTGATTTTAATCTTCAGAAAATAATCCTGGATGATATTTCATGAGGACCACCATAAATCCATATTCTCATGCCAAAAGGTCAAGCCTTTTAACCAGTACACTCATTTATGTTCATTATCCCAATTGTGGTCTGGCAGCTCCCTAGCAATGGAGAGACACAGACGCTTCCAGACTGCTGTGCTTAGTGACCAGGTCTTCACATCCATTCCTTCAGAGCTACTGTACACACAGGGATCTGTTTCACATGCCCTCACTAACATCAGTGCTACTCGCTTTAGAAGTCTGCACATGTTGAAGTATGATCAAGTAATTACTGCTGGGTTACAGATGAATGGGGCATGTGCAGTGAAGGACATCTCCTAGCTTTATGGCTACAGCTCAGTTATTCCGAATGGAGGTTGGGGGCCGTGTTGAGCCAGAAGAACAGCATTGTCAATATCCTCTGAGGTGAGGTCAGGTATACTGTACTTCCTAAGATTCTTCATTTATTCATACAAAGATTTAAGATCTTCAAACAGTGTAAGATAAGCTGTACAGGAAAGAAGCAGTTACATGGTGCTACTTCACTTTCTGATAAAGGTTGCTACTCTAGGGATATCTATTTTTTTCAGTTAGAATGGCTCTTGAACACATGCAACAAGTCTTCTAGACAAGACAGTCCAATAGTGCAGTTTTCCCCATCTTTTCCAGGAGCGTGTCCCTGGTGGTGCAGCTCTGTGGGTTCCGCTCCAGCAGGTGACAATGCTGTCAGCCCCTTGGCACTTTCTTCCTACTCTGTTTCCAGCTGGACTTGAAAATTGCTCCCTCCTCTCAGACTAAATTTCCAGCAAGTAAAGCTGTGTCAGTATGACATATGAAGCTGTAGATTCTATCACTGTGCCATCCACTCTACTATCTGATCAACATTTCAACAATGCAAACTAACAAATATTGCATAACTCACCTCCAAAACCCATCAGTTTTGAAACTGCCTCATTGTCCTATTCATAAAAAATATTTTTTTTGGGATGTGCATTCCTTGCATTTATAATGCCATAGCCTACCAATTTAGGGCAATAAGGGTTTTTTCATCCAGGAGTGCACATACTACCTACTATCTCATGAAAGCAAATAATTTTTTAAAAGTAGACAGCTCCATTTTAAAAAGAAGACGAAGAAAAAATACTTAGCTTGATGCTGCAGATGCACAACTGTGAAAATTTTAGTGTAATTTTTTAAAATAACATATTCTGCAGTTTTAAGTACTGAAAATTATAATGCATTACTTTGTTTTAGAGATCAAAATGGAAACCTTTTAAAGGCAATTTTGCTTTTTCAACTCTGGTTCTCTTTTCCAACATTTTTCTCTCATAGATTTGATATTAGGTTTTCTTCCTACGACAAACAAAACTACTTAGCATGTGAATTCATCCAAAGCAAATGTTTGTTTAGTGATTAGTGTCTTGGAATTACGTGTAGCACAGTGAAATTTTGCATTTTCTGATGATGCTTGTAAGTTTACTACAGGACCTGAGAATTATGGCTGACCTGACGTGGATGTATGGAATACATCACAGTTTTTCGTGGAAAACCTAAAGATGACTGTTAATTAAAACAACCAGACTCTCTCATTACTCTTTCACTAATTAAAAAGGTGGGTTTTTTTATTAAGTCGATATAGCTGATTAACTGTAACACTTCTTCAGAAACTGATGTGAAATACACTTCGTAGTTAGCACAGAACAGCAGATGCAGTTATGAGTAATTTTTTGTACTAATTCCCTGAAAATCAACAGAACAAATGTTTGCATAAACAGCTTCTTGCACTGACTTATTATCCTACCAGTTCTAAATAATTCTTGTATGAAAATAGTTCATAATGCATCATTTTACTGACATATTCTGCAATTTTTTACTCTACACAGTGGACTTTGAGACAATATTAAAGGACTCTGCTATAAAACTGTATTTATTGGAGTCCATCTTCAGAGTTCACACTAGTTATCCTCACATAAAAATCTGATGCACAAATGAGAAATTCATTTTATGTACTTTGCTCTGGATTGTACTTTGCCCTGGATCTCACATCAGGTATGACCTGCTCACAGTTTGTGTAATTAATCATTTCAATGAGGCATGTGAGCATTTCCTGAAATACTTATATGGTAAAATCTGCAATGTAATAATCTATACTTACAGTTCTACCAGAATGAAACTGTATGTATAGCAGCAGAGTGTATTTTTCATGTCTGTACAGATACAACATATACTGACTGAAGCACATTTATACAGCCCTGTGCAAGGTGGGTAGACGGAGGCTTTTTACTATTGTGGCACACTCACACTATATGTGACTGTAATATGCAAACAAATCCTGACGTTGTCTTATATCACTTTGGCTTGTAGAGTGGTTGTTGGACATAAATCAAACCAATTTATAAAGGTCTTGAGGTGACTGTTTGAAGAGGAAAATTAAGCCTTTTATAACTTGTTATACAACACAACTTGTGTCTCATAACTGCTGAATACACTGGTAGCTGGAAAATGTTAAATCAGCCAGACCATAATAATGGGAAAAGATGCAATAAAAGTGTCTGGGACTGTGTATTTGGTGTGCAACACCATTCTTGTTGTTTATTAACTCTTATCTAGTTTAACAATCATGAGAGAGCAAGCAGATTTGTACTTTTTGTACTATTAGGTTGGCACTACTTGGTGAGTGGACAAAGTCATATCAGAGCTGGTTTTTTTGTTTATGTTTCGAGCAATGACATTTTTCTTCAATCAAACACCTCATATATAATCTGAGCTCTATATAAGCTTACCCAAAATACACCTTTATATTTAAATGTATTTAATGGAGAAATATAGAAAGCTATGCCTTTATCCACGCCATTGCAAGGTAATACTATTAATATCTGTCATTCTAAAGCATAACAAAGAATCTACCAAGCAAAAGAATAAATAACAAACTCCTTGACTCTTTATAGATATTTTTGTCATACAAAGAAACACTAAATATTTTGAGAAGCAAAGGTAAGCTATTTTTCTATGCCTTGTGACTAGTTTGTTTCCAAAATATAGGCATGCTTTTATTAAACACCAGCTCTTGTTTTCAGCAGAAGCAGTTATGAAGTATACCAGCTTAATATTCACCAATACAAGGCCAGATGACAAGACTTCTTTCATTTAAATGAAGGGTATCATACCATATGAAAGCAAATGCTTTGATTGCCATTATACCATAATCACTATTCTGCTATGCAAAGAAACATTGATGGAAAGAATTTTTAATTTAGCTGAATATGTTTCTGTGTGTTAGGAAAAACAAGTCCACAGATAAAATAGGAAATAGGAAAAACCCTTGAGATGCGGCAGAGCTTACCTGACCACTTCTCAGCAGATCTGCTGCTTAGCTGTCCAATGCCTGCGAGGCCCTGAAACAGTGAGACAGAATAAACTCAATGAAACCATCATGCAGCCTACTAAACTCACTTTTAACACTTTGAATGACAAAACATATGCTTCATAAAGTATTCAAAAAGAATTAGCATGCAACTCCAGCTGCAAAAGATTTTGCTCACAAACAGGACAGCAATAGGCCTGTACTTTATTCTCATCAAAAAAGTAAACCAATCACATTGACAAAAAGCCACTATAAACAAAAAGACTGTATTTAAAGGATTAACAGTTTTGGCATCCCTACCATCAAGTCTTCTGTTGTTTTTTTCTTTTTTTTTCATCAAAATTTAGGTTATATATTTGTTGTTAGCAAGAGTTGCATTACTATTATTGTTAATTTTAGATCTGTTTATTACCTTGAGGGTTATATACTGTAGAATAATTTTGTTGTCGCTAGTTAATGTTAATTAGTTGTTTTAATAGCCTATATACCTATTTGTTATCTTTTGGTAGGTTTACTTTTTTAACTATCAGTAACTTAATAATTGAGAATATTTAACATTACTGATGCATACTCAAAATTACAGAGTTACTATTAGTGTTACCTGTTTAACGTTTAGTCATCCTTTGAGTCCTGCGACATATTTCCTTAATAATCATCAGCCATCAAGTCTGATAGTCTCAAAAGAAATATCAGCCCTCTAAACTGCCTTCAAGGGCGGTGATATTTAGCACTGAAAATTACAAATAAAGTTTTTGAAGTTGAGTACCAACAACTGGGCAGTGACACTGATGATTTGTTTATCAAGACAAATTGTTATATACTACGAAAAATGCAGTCAACGCACTCTTCTGAGTGAAAACAAATAGGTGAATCTATGCAATGCTTACATGTTGAATGGGATATTTAATGTGCGGGGAAACTCAAAGGTTGAAGAACTAGCATTTAGACAGTCTAACAGTGGTAAGTGGCAATCTTACCTCTTTAAACTCCATTACATTCTCACGAGAGACATGCTAATACAAACAAGTCAATCAGAGTTTGTGTTTAGCAAGATCAAGCTTAGAGGATTGTTTAAAATCCATTTATTGTTCTAAAGCATTTTTTTCCATTAACATGTTATACATTAGTGGATACTAACCATGATTCATGTAACAGTTTAGTTTGTTAACTTTTAAATTATTTAACAACCAGAAGTTATTAATACAACTTTTAAAGTCTTACACAAAAAATCTTAAAACAGGCTTGGGTTCATTTTTGTAATTATTATATAAAAAACATTTTAGGCATCTCTTGAAAAAGAAATAAAGCAGGCATTTAAAGCTAGAAAACAAGTAATTCCAAATTTAGTTTGTTACAAAAGGTTTCAGCTTTATTGACAAATTATGGCAAACATATTTGACAAAATTATGGTTTCCTATTTAGAGAAGCTTACACATGGAACTTTATGTGATTTTTTTTTAACAAATACAGGTTAAAACACTGAACAAATTCAGTTAGCTACATACATACAGTAGCTGCTTGTTTTCAACCCCATTAAAACAGCATTTAAAATTAAATTTACAAACTTAATACTGAACATCTTAATCTAAACTAACATATATTAAAAAAGACAAGTTAAAACATCTTATCTACAGCTTGATTATCGTCTGTTTCAAGAAAAAAAAGGAAAAAAAAGAATCATATTACAGTCTTTCAGCAACCCTAAACAAAAACTCAGCCTTAGCTAGTATGTAGAGAGACTCAAGATCTGTAACAGTGTCATGCTTTTTAAGTTACACACAGCAATGAATACAACCAACAGAACATCATATTTGAATGGTTTATAGACAATGTTTGCCAAAGGTTTTTTGTTTCTGTTTTTTTTTTTTTTTTTTTTTAAGTCTGTGTTATAAAATAATACTAATGCCAATGTCACTCCAATGTTATAGGAAATACAAGTAGTACATAGGATAGTAATGAGCAGTAATCCCTAGGATAGAAAAGAAATGGACTATTACTTGTCTTGTTGCTGTTTACGTGGAGACCACAGGCTATTAATTGTCTTTGAGATGAGGTCACAGATGAGGAGGACCTTCAATATCTACCATAGGGGTGCTCCCTGTAACCCCCTCTGGCTGACCTTGGAGGTGGTGCCTTTAGGCTGGAACGGGTTGTGGCCCATTTTTCTTGTGCTAAAAACAGAAGAGAAAAACATGTTTTGTAAATATCTAAACTTGAAAGAAAGAAGTGGTAGCACTGCTAATGGCTGTCAAAATTCTCAGGGGTTTTGGCTGAAAGCTTTAGAAAAATAAAATGAGGATGGTGTTATGATCCATTTCTTTATCCTCCCACAAAAACTTACAGAAAACTAACCTTTTACTTCTCCACATAGGCAACCTGTCTATCTTAGGATGAAAAAACCTTCTCACTTTCAGCAGATTTCTACTGTGGTGGCAGTACAGTCAGCTCTGGAAAAATCACTGCCAGCTCAAAATTTATCTGATGTTTTGAGCTTCTAGCATTTAAGCTAAATGTGAATAACATTTAATGCAGTTGGTGTGTTAATAAGATGAGGAGTTAAATCAAGATAATAGAAATACATTTGATTTTGTACTTCCTTTTGAGACCAAAAGAAAGAAAATAATGGAAGAAAAATAATGTGTAGAAATTAAGCTACTACATTAAGCAAAAGAGTTTTGCCAAACAGTGTTTACTTTACATTATCTTTAGAATACCTTTTCAAATTTTTGAATTCACATTTTCTCACACCCCCCTCCCCCCACCCAGAGAAGGTATTTCTGGAAGTTAAGGCTTCGAAAGGAGCAAGCAGGAAGCTACCTACAGTTGTGGTCCAGCAGTTGGACCCCAAACTTGAACTCAAATCAGCTAGTGCATCATCAAATGATTTCTGGTTTTGTTCTCCATTGACTTCAGTGGACCACACACACACATGTTGATTAGAATGCAAATGCATACATCATAGTACATTATTTTATATCACATGCAACACTACCCCTTTTGCAACAGTCATAGGATACATTTGACATACACATGTTCACGAGGAAGTTTCAAAATCTCTACATGCCTCCCCAAAGTTACACGATATTCTATGTCTTTGTAATGAAATATAAAAGCTATTCAGAAAAATCAGTGTGGCAAATGTTGGTTATTTTACATATTGTTTTATTTTATTGGGGATCAGCATGTTTGTATTACAGGTATGCATAGCATATTAATGTCTGTAAAATACAAAAGTAAGGGTCAAGCCTTCTGAGGCTAGGGAAAAAAAAGAACACTTCTTAAGGTGCATATTATACAGAGACTGAAAAGAGAGGAGTTTAAAAGATCGGAAGGGGACTTGAAGCCAGTGGAAAAAGGAAAGGAAGATTCAAACTGATGGTGAAACAGTTTATTTGCTGTTGCTATCAAAACAAAACTAACTGATTGGTATATTAAAATAGATTATTTTCCCTAAGTCTGAAGTGGGGCTATTTTATTTCATTTATACATAGGTAACACAGTAAGAAGCTGAACCATCCAGTCTTGAACTACTGATGAAGATTTGAAACATCGAGGTCCTTGCCTCATAAATTTAAAAATTGAGTTTTATCTATTTTTTAAGAGGTACATAATATTTATGGCTTGATCCATGCAAAAATTTTTTAGTGCAGGTTGAAGAAATTAACATTTCAGAACATATTTTCCATGCTCAGGTCTTGTCTTAGACTTTTGCTACTCCACTCAGCCACCAAGTATTGAAATGAGTATTCCTGACTCAGCATGGTCAATAAGATTTATCTATATGGAATATAAACATGGAAATTGCTGAACCCCCAGGTATAAGAGGATAAGATGTGAGCCAACGTGCGACATATTAGCTATTGTGAGCAGGGACAATTGCTCATAGCCAAGAAGAATATATTTTTACTACATTTATCACGTTACATACAACTTTCTAATTTATTTTCCAATAAGCCAAGCAGAGATGCTCTGGAGTTCAATCTGATGCCTGATGTACCTGTAGAGTGAATCCAACCTCAGATAATTTTTCTTTTTTTCTCGTATTCCGTTCTCACTACTGGAAAGAGAAACTGGGCTTTCAAGTGTCAGGTCACTGCCACAATGTAGTGATGGTTTCCTAACTTTTTGAAAGTAGTGCGTCTCTTGCAATTCACTCAAAAGCATTGAAGAATTTTGTTCAATTTTTTTAACAGAATGACCTAAACAAGAGAATGGAGCTTTCTATGCAAAATAAAAGATAGGCTAGTACATGAGAACATTAAAAATCAAAATTGTATTATTCATACATTTCAGTGAAGTCTAACTATACTGCCTTAAATTTAGTCAGCTACTTGATTAATGGAATGATGGCCTCTAATACAAAAAGGAACAGAAAAAAAATCTTCATTAAGTCATGTCAAAGACACTGGTGACTAGAGATACTGCCAATGATGAAGCATCAATTTTTTTCACCCAAAATTATCACAGGGCAGAGTATTACGTACGGATTGCTTGGGGTAAGATTATTTATTAAAGTAAGTTTTGAATGTGAGTGGTTAGTTGGGCCATCAGATCACAGACCAGATTGAGCCTGACCAGCAGTGTAGGCACACACAATATTATCACATGTTGGCATCATGTTGAATTATGAATCGGAGAGGACGCTTATTTTCTTCCTCTTATCTTCTGATGACTTTCATCTGCTCCTCTGGGTACAGATGTTACTGGCTCACTAACACCCTCATCTCAGATACTCTTTTACTGAATTCAACTCTTTCATGAATTTGCCCCTCCAATCACATCAGAGCTGTCAAAGATGTTTAAAGTTTTGTGATGCAGATTTCTTTGCAGTTTTGGTTTAAGATAGTCAAGCATTGGTAATGTACTGGCTATTATCCTAGTATTATATATCTACTGACCTCCTTGATGTCCAAACTTCCTTTTAAAAAGGGATAAAACCATTGTTGATGTTAAGAAAGAATTATTCCTTCTGGCCATTTGCTTTTGAACTTTAAAAGTTGCCACTGCTTATTTTTAATTTTTTTACAACATTTAAAGACTTTTAAGACTTTAAAAATTCTCTCTGAATAAATGAAATTCATCATATATGCACTTTCATTTAGTAGGAAAAAACCCACAATAGCACCCTCAGAAAATTAGAATACCTGCCAGTTTTTTTACCTAATTGGAGTATCTAATATTGCTACAGATCTACAACCGCAAAAAATGACCTATATTCCAAAGACTCTAGGAGTGAGCAGAGGTACAAGAAAAAATGGTTAACTGAACTGAAGCATTTTAGTTAATGAGCTTGTTGTTTTTTAATGGGCATGATTTTATTCCTGGTATCTTGTTTTTGCTCATTACTGATGACTTTTGCGGCCAGTAAGAAAATAATTAGCTGACTCTAGACTAAAATACTGAGTGGTTAAAACAGGTATCAAAGATTGTTTTTGTAAAAAGATAACGCTCTACGAAAACAGAAAAATGAAAATATAAACCATAAAAAGCCTGTTAAAATTCTGAAAGCTACTTCTTCTCTGCAAGATGTTTTCTCTGCAGTGCCATTTCATTATCTTGTTGCCTGGGGGTGTGAGGGGAAAGCCTAGGGAGAGGGAATGTCAGCTGCAGAGCTGAAGTGAAGCTCAGGCTAGCACGTACTGGGAGTGGACATCTCTGGAAAAGATCTGGTAGCAGCTGATCTGATCTTGCTATGGAACAAGAAACATTCCTGTTGTGATTTTTTTTTTTTTTTTGCATTCCATTTATTTTCTTTTTCTTTGAGCTGCTCAGGATGTTCGCTTGTTGAATATCAGGGGGTTTATGGTCACACGAAACCAAAGTTTACTGTGGAAAGCTATTGCCTAGCGGGTTGAAGAAGTGGCAGCCAATATGATAGAGTCCTAAATCCTTAGGTCTCTCATTCCTACAGGAAATCAGTTTCCATATAGTGAATTTAAAAATCCTGCCTCTGCAGTATGTTTCATTACACCCTTTAAAAATGGCATTTTGCTGTAAACGTGCTGCAGCTTCTAATACCCTTTGCTGAAGCGTCACTGCATCTGCAGAGAGGCCTTGGGGAGAAGTAAGATTTAGATAAAAAAGGAGAAGCTTTATTTATATAAACGAAAACAACTAAAGTACTAAAAATACTGAATGTACACCACAAGGACAAACCAATTTCTTGTTCCCTTTGAGTCTCCTCCCCCACCTCTGGACTGAAACACCTTCACAGAAAGGTGGAATGTACAGTCTTTCTGTCAGTACTCATACACCAAAAAATGACTTTATATTACCCATTGGAAGAAGCTGTTTTTTCCTTGACTAACTGTGTTCTTAAATAAATTGCTGCTGTGGCTGTACCAGCTTCTGATACAGAACAAGAACAGGAATGGAATTTGTGGTATAAATCTCTTATGCTCTTTTTTTCCAGTAACAGGCTGGACCTATTTTCTTGATTTCAAACTTTAACAAGGAAGGATGACAGTTACAACTTATTTATATCTACTTGGTAATATCATAATTAAAATATTAGAGGAAGGCTGACAGCTAACAGCTCTTGTTGATATTGCATGATAGACCCTACTGCATAACCGGTGAATCTGTAGCCAACACATAGGTGAGAAGTTTGGGGATTATAGCCTTCAACTGGGAAAACACTGGCCTCTGTCACTCATACAGCACTAAATGATTATATACTTATTGTGGAGACAGCAGGATGATATGGAGCAACACTATAAAGAGTCTCTGAACCACATGATGCCAATACATTACAAGATGGAGCCACACCAAAAAAGAAATCAGATTATTAGTGTTTTTTCCTACAGGGATTTTTAAAGAAAAACAATGTATCTGAATGCTAGTACTTAAAGATTCCTTGATGTGCTAAGTGGTTGTTTCATATCTTGGCTCCAGTATTCCAAGGTAACCTTTTCAGGATTGAAGCCATACAGACTGCCTCAGTAACCACACAGAGATCTGGATAGCTTGCTGGGCATCAGAAGGGTTGAAAGACCCTTCAGCCATTTTATTCCCAGGCTGAGTGTCACTGTGTTTCAGAAAAGACAAGAACTGTGGAGTCTGGTCTTCCTCTGAGAGACTGTGCCAAAATGGAAAGGAAAGAGAGCCTGGACATATTTTATCTTTATAAAGTGGTGTGATAATGAAGTGGAAACTGAGAGGGATTTCAGGT